AGATATTATGAACTTGAAATGAGATATTGGAGTTGCTTTATTCTTATTTTAAACATAAATCATGCCATTCCATTGGCAAACTATCATATGCATCTGCTTAAATTAAGAAAAATTAAATTTATTTCAAGAAAAAAAAGCCCTTTGTCTATAGTGCTTTCTATATGACCCCTTATTTTGACAATTTAGCGCACGTTTTTAACAATACTGCTTTTATGTCTAAAATTCAATTCAGTTCAGTTTATTTATATAGCGCCAATTCACAACGCATGTCATCTCAAAGCACTTTACAGTTCAACCAGATCATCCAGTCAAATTGATTCAAAGTTTTCTATCTAAGGAAAACCAGTTGATTGCACCGATTTATTGACTCAAATTCAATCCCTCACACTAAGCATGCTTGTAGCGACAGTGGAGAGGAAAAACTCCCTTTTAACAGGAAGAAACCTCCAGCAGAACCAGGCTCAGTGTGAACGGCCATCTGCCGAGGCTGACTCTGGTCAGACATTCTGTGTGGCATCCTACTCACTCGGCAAGTGGACTGTATCGGATTTTGAATCAGTTTTGGTACTGGCTCAAAAAATATTGCAAAATCATTAAGAAAACCTATGTCCGCAGCTCTGTTGCTGTGGGATACCAAGGCAACCCTGTCTCTCCTCTATAGGAAGTTGAACTTGTCTGCTGGGCATCACCTCCGTAGGGTCCATTTTTAAATATTAAATACGGGCTAAGTAAGGCTGTAGTACTGGGGTAGCTGTTCTCTAAGAATGGAATAAATCTGTCCATCAAACACATAAGGGAAATGGTACATAGTGTATTTCCTAGGATGACTTTTAGGAGGAGTTTTTATCTTCTAAGATGGAAAATGTTAGTTTCCCCAAACAGGTGCATCTAATTTACGATAATAAATGGAGTGGAGGTGGAAGTTTTGAAGGCAGATTAACAGGTATTTGAGAGTCAGAATTCTAGCTGATAGACAGGTGTTCAAATACTTATTTGCAGCTGTATCATACTAATAAATACTAATAAAAATTCATACATGTGATTTCTGGATTTTTTTTTCAGATTAAGTCTCTCAAGGTGGACATGCACGACGACAACCCCTTTATTTTCCTCACTGTATGTTTCTCAAGTCTGCAAACTACTGTAGTCGCTGGACATTTTTTTTAGAACATGCAGTTTTGTCACCAGGCACCTGGTGGACATCTCTGCCAGCCTTTTCTTGTTTTACAGTTATCCTTATATTAATTTTATGCATTATTCTACAGAGTCAGATATTTTGTTTCATTATGCATCCAATTCTGCCATTACTGTCTTGTTGACACAGCTGCAATTGCATTGACATGTGGCATTTTTATGCAGCCCCCTACGTATCATTACATAACTATTGTGTTCGTTACCAATTGAGTTGTAGGCTTTTATGACCCTGTGCATTCTTTATGGATTACCTGTAATTTAATATGACACCCTGACTCTCTTGTGTCTTTGATTTTAAAACCCTGTAGTCTATTCTCAGCATCTTTGTATCCTATAGATTCTGTATACAATCTCCCTTTTATTTATTTGTTTATTGCCTGCCATTCTACGGCACATGTTGTTCATGTCATATTCACCCTGGAGCAATACAGCCACACATTTTCTCAGGAATCTATCCGCTTTGAAACACTGCGTCCTTTTGATTTATAATACAATTGTGCCGCTCATTTCTGCCATGCACTAGATCTCTGTATCTTCAAAATAGACATACACAGAATAAATCCTCGTCATTTAGTGAGAGGCCTTTCAGCAAACTTGGCCATTTCTTCTTTTTATTACATAATTAGGCTATTAATCCTTTGAATATTGTTGCACTAAAACAATCTACATGTCTGAGCACCACTTTTTCAACTTGCTGACTAAATCATGCATCCAAACTGTTTTATTTCAAACACTTAACCTGTAGTTTGTGGTTTACTGTTCTGTTTTGTTTTTTGGTGTGTTTTGAACAATCATCAATTACTTTGACAATTAGAGGTGTGTTTAAATAGTCAACTAAAAGACATTTTCAGTTGCTCTTCTTTTGGTGTTAAGTGTTTACGTATTTGTGTAGTGCATCTCATCTTTTGCACTGTTTTTTAGCTGCATATATGCATGAGTTTACCTATTGTCTCAATGTGGGAAAGCAAGCAGCCATACAGAACCTAGAATAATAAAAAAAAGCATAGTGGCAAAGCGAATCCTGACTGCTTCTATGGTATAAACACACTTTCTTTGGGAATAAAAAAAAATGAATTTAAACTCCATGTCCATAAGGAGCAGATTTAATTATAAGGAAAACATCTTTACTGTCTGTGTTCATTTTTTTTTTTTATGCTATTTATATAACGCCTTTAACAGACACAGAGATGAATTAAGAAGCTGGTGAAGATTCTCAGTCATCCAGGTCATAATCATTCAAAAAATAAATAAATAAATAAAAAACCACTGAACTTTGTTTCCAAGTTTGAAGATGTTTTAACATTGCTTGGTTGCTTTTTTCTCTCAACGCTATTCCTGACTTTTTGAATTGAAAAAGCTTCTTGGATGGGAAGAGAAACGTCTTCAAACTTGGAAACAAAGTCCAGTGGATTATTTTTAATTTTCTTTCTTTCTTTTTTTTTTTTAATTAAGAAGGTTGAAATCTTTTCGTGTATTACAAAGACCCCAAAAACTGCAATAACACTGTGAAAACATTCTAAAAATTGGCAAAACCTTCTCAAAATAAGTGTATTTGCCCCTGACTTAAGCAGATAAATATGATGATCTGCCAATGGAATTAGTATTTTTACCCTCAAAATAAAATAATTAGATATTATGCACTTGATACTTATTTCTACGGAAGAGGATTAGGGCCACTGAAAAAAAATTTAAAAGTTAACTGATTTTCTAATTCAGTATAATATAAGAAACAAGTCAGAATTCTGACTTTAATCTCAGAATTCTGACTGAATTCTGAGATTAAAGTCAGAATTCTGAGAAAAAAGTCAGAATTCTGACTTTAATCTCAGAATTCTGACTGAATTCTGAGATTAAAGTCAGAATTCTGACTGAATTCTGACAGCTAACAAACATGTTAGCGTCCAGCTGTAGCTATGTCTGTTTTAAAGACTAAACTAGCTTTCTTGTTTCAATCACCTGCTCTTCCATTACAGTTTTTTCTGATTGCTTAAGCACATTTTTTGTAACTATTGGCTATTTTTGCTAAACTCTACTCACAAATAAGAAAACCTTTCACCCAATTATCAAAACATTGCAGTTCTCTTGCAAAAGCGAACACAGCTATATTAACTCTTCACACCTTTGTAAAAATGGTGTTTTCGTATCAAACAGTAAACACAAACCATCATCTACTAAGCACACAATTAGCCAACTACACACTGATGGTATGAATACAAAACACATCTGGCTTTCTCTTTCTTTGTGTACAGATGTCAATTTGAGGTCATACTTTTGTCATAGTGTCATGTAAACATACAAGGATCCAAATTTCAAGTATTGCTGTTTATTCACACTCATCAAAACCAAGACAAATTCAGAACACAAAATAGTAATTTCACAAATAACAAAAAAACAGTCAGCCTACATCATGTCGTCTTTCTGGGTCCGGCCACAAAATTTCGTCCACATCGCATGCGACATCCTCCAGTCCAAGGCACCGGGGAAAATATCTCCTTGAATTCCATATCCAGGCCTGACATGATGCCTGGTCAATATCTCCGCATGCGTCCTCCATTGTCTGTAAAAGGGCTACCTGTTGATGAGGATAACATTGTCCCATATGATGACATATCGGGTACTGTATGCTCTGGTCTCTGAACAGTGAGCATGTCATGTAAGGTGTCCAGAAATGCAATAACGTGTGCAGTGTTATATGGGCCTATGGTTGTATGATGGTGAACAACACCATTTTGGCTTATAGCTAACTCTGTAAATTTGTTTCATTCTTATTCTGTGGCGTGCAAGTACACGACTTCATGAAGAAATGCTTATTGCCTATTTTGAAAGATGGTGTCATTATCAATTATTATTATTTATAGTGCTTAGGCTGATTGCAAAGTGAACTAATTATCTAAAACAGTTTTCACATGTGAATGTGTGCCAGACAGTTGGCAAAATAATGTTAATGATAGCCATACATGTGTATAATTTTGCTAGGAGTGTGTTGGAAATTTGGTAATAGAGTGTTGTGCAGTGAATTGTGCCTACAGTTTTGCAAAATGTGTGTTACAAAATTGCAAACTGAGTGCAATGCAGTGTTTGTGCTTTTAGTTTCGCAAACTCAGTGAGTGGTTTTGTTATACGTATCAATAGTTTTAGAAATTGTGTTACAAGAATCACGATTAGCGCTTAAGCATTCAGAAAAAACTGTAATGAAATAGCATCACGGGGGACCCCTAGGGCACCTAAAAACTCACCTAATTCTGATGTTTTCCACCAACGTTTTAGTGTTCCTCCCAAACAATTCCCATCTTTGTCAGTGAAGCTGAGTGCTCCCACATCTCTTCCTTCATGGTGCCCATCTACTTTAGAGTCCACAATTCTGAGATTAAAGTCAGACTTCTGACAAAAAAGTCACCATTCTGAGATTAAATTTAGAACTCTGAGAAAAAAGTGAGAATTCTGAGAAAAAAGCGAGAATTCTGAGATTTAACTCAGATTTCTGAGAGAAAAAAAATCAGAATTTTGAGATTAAAGTCATAATTCTGAGAAAAAGTCAAAATTGTGAGAAAAATGTCGTATTTCTGAGATTAAAGTCAGAATTCTGACTTTTTTCTCATATTATACTGAACAAAAATTTTAAAATCAGTTAACTTTTTTAATTTCTTCAGTGGCTCTAATCCTCTTCCGTATATTTTTCACAATGATTTATTTGTTTATTTAATTTTGAGCACCTTGGCATTCCATACCCAATAACCAGCCTTGCACCTTCTCCACAGCCTCTGCTTCAGTGATTCCTCTCTTCCCTCCTTCGGGTTGCAGTAGATGTTTTTCGGAGCTGCAGAGGAGAGGTTGTGCGTGTCTCTCTCCTCCAGCAGCAGCAGGCGCTGACTCTTTCTTCAGCCTCCACCTTTCCCATCAAGGATATGGGGACCACCAGATTAGATGGGATTATTCCTCGTGTTGCCTGGCTTTTTATCCTCCTTGGCTTTTCTGGGACAAACGCAGAAGGTGAGACAGACGCGTGTCTTTCCTTTATTACTTTGCTTCCCAGAGGCGAAGATACGCAGTGAATTAAGCGTGTTTAAAAGTGGGGAAAACCAGCGAAGAGTTGTTAGAAATATCTGCACGTGCGCCTTTTTTCCGAAATCTGCGGCTTTCACAGAGAGGAGCGCTGATTGGCGCATTTAGAGGCGCTTTTAAAAAACTGGAAAAAAATAAAGAGTTTTCATTTGGGATACTTTGCTAAAAGTGGTCTTAATTTTCTATTGAATCAGTTCAGCGCATATATCTTTATTCCGTTATACAGTTTATCCTTATGGGGAACACAGCACTGAACGGATTATGTGGCTTCAGAGCGCAGAGTTTCGGGCGCTCTCACTTTTGGAAATGTTTAATACAATATAGAGATTGCTTGACGTTAACTTTCTTAGAGTTAAAATCCAGAGACATTCATTTAAATAATGATTAACTGAGACTTACGGAACTCTAGTTCTTGGATCATGACTTGAAAGGAAACTGAGAGAAATCGTTAAGATATATTTGAATTTCAAAAAAAAAAAAGTTAAACTTTTTCTGTATTTCCTTGCTTTTGAACCACATACCTGCAAGTATTTTATACATTTTTATTTTTTTACTAAAACAAATTTGCAATTTTTTGTTCAGGAACTGAGCACAATACTTTAAAGGTACAGTGGAGGATGTTTTTTTTCCTGGGTGGATCATCTCAATAAGTGGTCATCCTGATTGTCAATCATTCTGGTGATATGTTTATGTAAGGCCATCCCACGTGTTCGTCCCCATTTTCTTTTACCAGTGGTGAGTATGACAAAGTGGAAAAATTGCAAATCTTCTTTTGGAACGTAAGTTTGTTTGAGCGATGCAAACAGCAACTTATGGGCTTGTGCATTTCTGCACGCGTCCCTCTCAGGAAAGGGCGGATCTTTTCAAAAATTCCCAAAGATCCTCCACTATACCTTTAAGACAAATTTCTTATTTTGTCTTAGGTCTCGACCAGCCTTGCCCAATTTCTAAATGTTGCCACACTCTCTCAATTGAATTTAGGTGGTTGGCCACGTTGTCTACCCAGCCTTACATGCATGCATGAAACCTTGAGGGCACCTCAACCAACCGAATGTTTTAAAAAAGGCCTTAAAACATTTATTTTTAGCAAAGTTTTGGCCACCTTTAGATGTTTTTCTTTCTTCTAAAAATAGCTTTTTCATGCTTTTTCTCTTTTTTACCTGTACCACATTTTTTGATGAAAAATGCAGTATAGATTAAATGTGTTATTATTATTATTAATATTATTATTACTTAAATCTAATTTAGGGAGATATATCTTAAACATCTAATCTTTGATTTTTCTACCAAATCCGATCAATTTGTTGCTTTTTTCTCTCACTTAGATTTCAGAATACAAATGAATATTGACATGCAAACTTTGTCTAAAGGTTCCATTTCATACAGAGTTCCCTTTATAAGCATTTAATAACAGTCATATGTGAAGCCTTCAGAAATGAAAAAAAAACATTTCACTTTTAGCATTGCCTTTCTGAACCTCTTAGTACCCCCTCATGCCCTTTATGATGTCATGAGGGGGAAATGAGCTATCTAGAGTGGTCTCTCCCAGCCAGGTCAAGCTATGGCCTTCATCTAATGTATTATTCCTTGCCCCTAACCTATCATTATGAGCTCTTACTGGTTGTCATAGTTGCAGGTTGTAGGGGTGTGGCCTTCGCGAGGGCAGGATGTGAAAAGCCAAAACAACTTGTTCAGAGGAGGGCTGAATAAGGAGATTTTTGGTAAATGCCATTTGCCTGATCTGAGAGGAATCTTCGTCCATAACCAACAAAAAATGCTCTGAGGGGGTCTCATTGTTAAATTTTTCAAATGTAGTATAATATGTGACCTTTAATTTAAGAGGCACTGAAATTCAAGCTGTGAAAATGCTTATAAAACAATGTTTCACTACGAACATGGAAAATATAACAAACTAAATATTTGCAGTGGTTTTACACAGTCAGCTAGCTTGGGGAGTGTTGATCTATAGGCCATAGGCTAGCTCTCAGAAAGTGGCTAGAAAGTGAGTTCCGTTACAGCATCTTGGGTAATACTTTTTATTATGATTTTTATGAAATAAAAAATAGTTCATCTTCTTTGAAAAAAAGTTGCACAAGTGGGCATCTTTAGTTAGTGAGTAATCGTCATTTGAAGTTGGGTAATACATGAAAAAATTAACATTTTAGCCTCTAATAGCATCTTTGACTCCAATTATCTCTAAAAGTAGTGGTTAGAGCAGTGCGCTTGGGCTCAAAGAAGGTTGCAAGTACCAGCCTACACTCAGAGTTCCTGAGCAAGACCTTTAACCCCACACTGCTCCATGGGCGCCACCCAATGGCAGTCCACTGCTCCCCAAGGGGATGGGTTAAACGCAGAGGGTGAATTTCCCCATTGTGGGACAATAAAGGGATTTAGATTTTTTTTTTTTTTTTTTTACAAGTTATAAATGCACATTTAAGAACAAAACTTGATGAACTGATGTTTACCTCAGTTATTGAAGCCCAAGAAGTGCACTAGTGGAAAAATAGATCACACCAATCCCAGGGTTTATATTAATATTCAGCCTTAATCTGAACCACTTCATGCCCGGCTAACTGTTCGGATCATTGATCTGCAGGGAGTTGGACCGGCACCCAACCTTTTTGATTCCATTTTGTTTTACTCTATGTTTATTTAGTTTTTTCCATCAAACATAGCATATTTCATATCAGTCTTGGACATGTTTTGTGTTTAACTGTAAGTTGGATTGTTGAGTTCACGATTAACAGCTCTGCTGTTAATCGTGAACTCAATTGAGGAATAAATCTCACTGCTCCCCTTAAGTTACTTGGCTGCTTCTCTGGTTAATGCTTTAATAGGTTCTGGTAGTTTTGCAGTATTTTTAGAGCCTTTCTATTCTCATTAAACATATTGAACATAGATTGTCGCGCTTGAGAGATTGTTTTATTCACTCTACTTTCCGGCCCTGTCCACTTTAGTGCCTGCACTTCCTGATACTGTTTGTTCATTGCTCTTCTCCAACAGACCCCTGAGGTATTATGTTTGACTCACAGTAAGATTAGAATAAACAACAAGCTGAAGTGATTAGTTGATTTATGAAGGTTGCACTCTATTTTCTGTCAGAATAAAGGGAGCAAGTCTAAATTGTCTTCCACTGCACCATTTTACATTCCTTACATAAAATCCTTACATACAACAAAATTTGTGGTTTTAATTGGTAAAATGTTCACAAGTTCCAGGGGCATGGATACCCTCATCCCTGTAGCTGAAGGAAAACATTTATTTGTGTGGATTTTTAACTTGCAAGTTGTTTTCAATCACAAAATATCTGTTAAATCATTTTGAAAGTAATTATTCTGAGTATAAACCAAAGCACAAATAATTAGAAATGACAAAGAAATGAAAGATAAACATCCTTTACTGGTTGAGGTGTTTCCCCAAAACAAATTAGTTTTCAGCAGGCTATGTGAATCTTTCCCTCTCTATCTCTTTACCTCTTGCTGTTTCTCTGCTTCACTTGTTTCTTCTCTCCTCCTGCTGGTTCTGACTCAGATGAGTCTAAAACCCCCCCATCCAACTCGTGTCTCTGCTTGATGCTGATTTTCTACGTCCTGCTGGTGCTGCTGCCACCTCCTGTTCGGTTATCAGCAGATATCCCTTCGTCTTATCTTCTCTCGCCCTGTTCTTCTCTTAAGGTTTGCCATCCCTTTGTGCTGCCCGTCCGCATGGATCCTCAGCTCCCCTGCTGCATCTGTATCTGAGAGAGCTGTCATGGTTTACTTTCTTCGTTTTTTTTTGCTTTTCATCTTTATGCCTCAGTCTCCTGCATGCTTCAATAGTGTCTCCTGATCTCCTTTTTTCTTATCCTAAAATACTTCCTGCTGCTTCTTTTTCATTCTTTTTCTTGAAGTATTTGTTTTCCTCTTGGCTGAAATGATACCTATGCTCACATTTAGTTTCTTCATTCTGTCAAACTGTATGAACATTTTAACCCTGAGAGTTTAGTTATATCTCAGTCTATGTCGGGTTTAACTCTTCAGATACATTTTCACCTCAATTTTTGTGGTGCACATTTTTCACACATCGGCAGATGCATCCTGTAGGGATCAAAATTCCTTCGAAGTACAGAGAATCCCAGTTGCAGCTTTCAGCGCTAAGCTCGCTTCTTCTTTTTCCTGAAAGACAGTTCAGTGTTTATTATGGTTGCTAAACGGCAACAAAGTAGAAATCCATATTTCAAGAGCCAGAGACTGTTCCTTGTTGGGTGGGAAGACTTAAGTGCTTTTTTAAGTGATATATTTCATGAAGGTTGCTCTGTGACACATCCGCCTCCAGGGCTTCAAAGCCACTGTGCATTTAATTACCTTTGAACATTTTCAGTATGATGAGGTCTTCTAGTGTTGAGTAATTTCTCATTTCAATGGACGGAAAACGAAAAGAAACAAATATTCATGCAAGTTTTTGATAAGACTGATGATTATTTTACTTTGCAATGTAAAGGACAGTTTTGGTCAGAAGGGGAATGCAGGAATTTGTTAATGGCTTCTTTGCCTTCTATGCTTTCTTTAAACCAACATTAATGTAAGTAACTTTAAACCTTCATTAAGTTTTTTTTTTCAGACTTTTTTGTAATTATACGTTGACCTACTACTAGTTGAATGACACCTCTGTCTTGGCCCGAGGGGGTCTGTATTACTTTCACAGACACTAACCAACAATGAGGAGGGTGTCAGTAACACTGCAACCTAAAACAACTGCAAATGCGGAGACTGCTTTCCCCATTTGTTATAAAGACGGAGGTTGATGAGACTTAATTTCCCTAAGAGACTGTATATGTGTGAAAATTGTACAGGGTTGATATTCTGGCGATGCAGCAAATTCCTTTTGGGATCTACATGTGTGTTTACTGTTAAATTATCAAAGATAACATATTTATCTATTTCAAGGCT